AACAAGGAAGGGGGGGCCGGAGCCCTGGTTGGCCTCCAAGAGGCTCCGCCAGTGAATGGATGCACAGACTTCCCTCGTACTAAATATAGTATCGATGAACTTTTTTCCCACAAGATATGTATTTGCAAATAAGCTTTACCGTCCTCACAACAACAACAACAGATGTGAAAACATTGAACAGCAAGAAAGACGAAACAAAATTAAGGTAGAGGTGCAAATGAGATATGTGACTTTACTTCTCAACATGTATAAAGAAATAAACAGAAAAAGGCTTAGCTATTGTAAGTCTTTAACATCCAATAAATATGGATACGTAACTCAAAACTTGTTGTAACACCTCAATAATTTAAAATCAATTCTACTACATCTCCATTCTGTGGTTCTGTTTCACCCAAAAAATAAAAAATGGAAAAACTACATTGATGGTCGCAAGTTATGAATGTATGTAGTGGATGTAGTTCAAGTAGCAGCCTACTGCATCGCAGTCTTAGCTCATGTCATGTTTACCTGTGGCTGGAGATATGTGATTGCTGTGCTTCATCAACTACAGGTGCTACAGACAGCCACTGATGTTTTGTCAGAGATTGTAACTTGAGAGCGAAGCCAGTTGATTTAACTACAATGTTTCCGTGCGGCAGTTGGAGCATGCGCTTGGAACATATCTACCACGGAGCTTACAAAAATTTCTAATGTGATACACAGCAATCAACGCATGAAGCACTGCTGAATCAAAGGATGTGAATAGTCCACATAGTTATCCCAAAAGCTCTTGTACTTCTCCATTCCAATTTTGAGCCATGGCTTCATATTTCCATTGTAGTGCAGTACTGCCCCTTCCTTGATAGTAGCAGCATCCACAGTTGTGTAGCCAAGTCCCAAGACATGCCATTGGGGATCCAATGCTTCAACCAAGCCATAGAAAGCAAGAAGCCCAGGTGGTAAAGACCCAAGCTTCCATAGGGTATGATCAGCATTGCGCTCCTGCCAATAATGATATATGCCTGTCACATTCTTGTTCCTCCATTCGACCAGATCAAGCACGTTCATACCAAATGCCCAGCCACAAGCATCAGGGTCAAAATGAGCACGGATTAGAGGATGGGAATGGTTAAGATACTTATGAAATCTGTGGAATGTCTCCATGCAAGTCTCTACAGCACCCATCACATTACCATTGAGGTTGATAGTAAACAGTTCTGATAGGTCCTTCTGAACAACGATATCATCATCAAGAAACACCACCTTCTGCAATTCGGGATATATTTCCGGAATGTAGAACCTCAAGTGATTAAGCATTGATAAGTACTTTGGGTTCCTGAATTTAATTGGTGTTCCACGATTACCACTGCCGGAGAAGTAGAACTTCTGGGTAGCAGCGTTCTGTAGCTGTTTAAGAACGGGAACATACGATGCATTGAGCCAGGTAAAGTCCTCCACCTTTTGTATCTCCACAGTGACCCCTCTGTAGTCATTCATGGCAAACCACGCCTTCATCGGAGCATAGTTCAAATCATCAGTCACTAGGTGAAAAACAACCTTGTCAGGGTGCCTCGAGTTTATAGCCGTAGAATTGACAACAACTGAAACAGCAAGGATGTTGTCTGAGAAGACACAGAAATGATAGAGGCTGTTATCCCTTAGATTGCTCTGCACTGCTGGGCTCCTATCTGAAAACTTCCTCTGAAGCTCAGGACTCTTGAACCATTCCATGGTTAACCGAACACCAAGGCAGTAAAGTCCCTTTGGGAGCTCCTCAGCAGCAATCTGGCCATATTTTGTGCTCTTCTCCGCCTCAGCTTTCGACTTCTCCTCCAGGGACTGAATCTGGCCTTTCAACTTCATGATCGTGATACCGCTGTCATACCGAAGCTGCTGCGCCTGGAAGAGCAGCACCGACATATCCCTGATCGCCTTCTCTGCTTCCTGCTCCATCACCGTGCCCCCATGGGCTGCAGCGTGCGCAAGGATGCTCTGCGCCCGCAGTACCTGGGCACTAAGCTCCGCCACGAACTGCAGGTTGTTTGCCTCCTTGGCAACGACGACATAAGTTTTGGCTAGATAAATCTGGTCCATGAGCTGCCTCGAGAACGAGCGGGCGCTCAGCATTTCGTCAGTCATGTTGAGCGCATCCGTGATTCCCTCCAGGTAAGTTCTCTGCACGCAAGAGGAGAGGTTTGAAAAAAAAAAACTTTCAGATGCTACTCGCTAGCGCTCATTATCATCTTTCAACAAAAGGTAGCACTAGACATAGCTTAAGCAGATTCAGCAGGTGCAATGGCTACTGACTAAAATTGGCATGCTGGTAGTCAAACGGCCAGACGACGAAACGGTCCCCGAAATGCGAAAAATGCGACGTGGTTACCTGACGGAGGAGAGGGGAGGAGGTGGTCTCGGATCCGGAGGACGCGGCGGAGGTGGACGGCAACGCGCCGGGGTCGGGGGAGCCGAGGAGGACGGCGAGGAGGAGGACGCACGCGAGGGCGAGGAGGAGGGAGAGAGCGAGGCGCACCCACCACGGCCGCTGCTGCCACCGGCGCTTGAACGACGGCCGCCGCTGGTCCAGGAACGGCCGCCGCCTCATCGGACCGCGCGCCCCGCTGCTCTCGCCGGCAGGGCCGGGCGGGAGGCGCCGCGCCGCGCCGGGATCTGGGACGCGTTAACCGCCTCGCGCGCTCGCGGGCTGCTGGATCCTCTCGCCCGTTTCCTTCCTCCTGCGCCTTCAGATCTCGCTCGGACTCGTAGCAGCGCGGCCGGGCCGGCAGCGTCGTGTGCTCGCGCTCTTGGACCGACGTGCCTTGCTTGACTGCGCTGCGACTTGTTGGCCTGCCTGCCTGCCTCAGGGCTTATTTTTATTACTCCGCTAAAGTTTACTCCGTATCCATCCCATCAAATATTTGACAGAGTATTAAATATAGACTAAAAATAATTAACTGTATAGTTTACGACTAATTTATGAGATGAATTTTTTAAATCTAATGAATCCATAAATTAACAATGTGGTGCTACAGTAACACATGTACTAATGACGAATTAATTAGACTTAATAAATTTGTCTTGCAGATTACTGACGAATTCTGTAATTTAATTTTTTTAGTATCCGAATATTTCATACGATATCTTAATGTGACATTCGATGTGACACCTTCAAACTTTATACTCTGGATTTAAACAATGCCTCAGACACACCGTTCATATCCAAATGGACAAAGTTACCGCTTCGTCGATGCTTTCTCAGTTTCTCTTTCACCGCGCGAACGAAGCAACGAAGTTGTTTTTAATTTTTTTAGGGAAAAAAACGGTGTAGTGTTTGGCAAATTGAGGTTTGTAATACTGTGTCCAACAACCGTTACCCAAAATACAAGACACATTCCACATTTAGGTAGCGCTACAAGTAAATGGTTCAATACCTATTTTTGGTCGAGGTATACCTCTCCTGACACATAAAATGGGTTTTCCGCATAGGTACTCTGTTGAAGGCTATATGTATTCTGTTGGAGACTTATTTTAAGTTTGGCTTACCTAAAACGTCCCCTGTTGAAGACGGGTAAGAATGGCCACATTGACAATGTCTTCTCCTAGCTAGTTTCCTTTGAACCATTTCATTGCAAAATGCTATTCACGGAAATTTTACCACCTAATCACGCTTCTTATATACACCTTTGCTTTTGACATACTAACACTATGAGTAGGAGCTGCATAGAATCCTAAGAAAAACTATGAGTAGGAGCTTTGTAACACTATCTTAGCATACGTTACTTCAACCTTCATCTTTCATATTTTTTTATTAGATTCAGGGAGGCTATCACCTAAACTATAGAATTAGCCCTACGTAGTCTTATTTCAACCCAACAAACTCATGAAATAAGCCTAAAATAAAATACATATGCAGGCCATATACGAGGTTTTTTTTGTCCGAATCCCTTCAACGATTCAAAGTAATCCTAATCTAATAACTAGAAAGCTATATAGAGTCATGTGCTTTAGATCTGAAAACGAACTTGTAGATGAGAACTTAGCATGGCTGTGGCGCCTTGAACGGTCGATGAGCCAGCCATGGTCGTACGTCTAAATGGTGTTAGTATGCCTCGTGCTAGTCTAAGTGGAAATTTTATTTTGGTTTTATTTGCATTTAATACTATGATACATCAATGGTTTTAATGACTTGGCAGGTTACTTATAAAAAGGAGAAAGAGAGTTTTACATGGTTTTATCTGAATGAAACCCGTTGTTATGGTTACTAATAAAAAAACTGACATGATAGTCTTGTACTCTGTTCGTTTGGGCTTGTTTGGCTTATAAGCCATACTTTTTCAGCCAACGAACAATATTTTTCTCTCACACCAAATCAGCCAACAGTACTTTCAGCCATGGCTTATCAGCAAGCCCAAATGAACAGGGCGTTAATAACAACACTGTAGAACGCACCGCTGACACTGGCCTTGGGAAGCTATAACGCCACAAGCCCACAATAATGAATTATTCTCTGTGAGTGGTGTCCCCTACTGGAACTAACAAAAGCCAATCGCATCAATATAACACGAATGTAGCTTGAGTTGGTGCAGTGCTGTTTTGCTGCAATCAGTGACTAAAGTCAAAGCGGTGATTATTAGATTGCTAAAAATGTATGACCTGTGATCCCGACAACATTGGTTTTCTCTGTGATCTAGGTTGGTAATCTAATTCCATCTAGTAAGAAAATCCATCATAAAATATATATGAATCTAGATTTCGCATGATTTTATATTTGGTACAATCTACACCATGCTCATACTCATGTGAAATCACCAAATAAAAAACAGGTCGGTAAGGAAAATTCCCATTTCGGGCACCGACTCAAGCAGACAAGGCCGGGCCAAGTAAAAGGCGAATTCTACGCGGGCCCGTTTCGCGGCCCAACGTCTCGCTCTCGTTCCCCTCCGTGCCGACGAGTCGACGAGGCAATAAAGCAGGAGACGAACCAACCGTGCAGCAATTCTTCCGTCTGTCCCCTCGCAAACCCAATGGCGTCGCGGTCGCGCGACGACGAGTCCGCGCAGCCACCGTCGAAGCGGCCCCGGCGAGATGCCGAAGCGGATGCGGACGCCGCGGAGCCATCGCCGCGCGTGGTGCTCAACCCAGCGGACTGCGATCTCGGTACGCACTCACGCACTCGACACCCCCACGTCTTCTCTGCGCTTGGGTTCCCGTTACACGCGTCTCTAATCGTGTTCTCGCCGCGGCGTCCGTCCAGACTTTGATGTCGGCGGGGGCGGTCTCCGGGGGAGCGCGCTGCACGAGGGCGCGTTCGCCTACTGCTGGTCCGGCGCGCGCGCGACGGTGGGCGCCAGGGGCGGCGGGCGGTACTGCTTCGGGTGCAAAATCGTCGCCGAGCAACCCGTGGAGATGGACCTCACGACCCCCGAGGAGCGCCACCTCTGCCGCATTGGGGTCTCGAGAGGGGATGATCCCGTAGGGGCGCTCGGGGAGTCCCAGCACAGCTTCGGGTTCGGGGGCACGGGGAAGTTCTCCCACCAGCGCAGGTTCGTCAACTACGGCGTCAAGTTCGGGGTCGGGGACACGGTCGTCTGTGCCGTGGACCTCGATTCCAAGCCCATGGCGTCGATCGGGTTTGCGAGGAACGGCGAATGGCTTGGTATCGCGAGGCATTTTGACGCGGGTGAGAAAGGGCTTGGTCTGGTTGACGCTCCTCTGAGGCCGATGCAATGGAGATCCGCACTCTTTCCCCATGTCCTGCTGAAGAATGTTGCCGTGGAGATGCAGTTCGGCAGAGAGGATGGGCTGCTGCCGGTTGATGGTTATGAACCCTGGGCCTCGGCTTTTACTCATGGGAATGCAGTATTTGGCCCTTCGTTTGAGCAAAATAAATGTGAGGTCATGATGATGGTTGGTCTTCCGGCCTCAGGCAAGTCAACATGGGCAGATAATTGGGCCAAGGAGCATCAGGAGAAACGTTTTATCCTTCTCGGAACTAACCTTGCATTGGAGCAAATGAAGGTTGGTTTTCCTTCTGGTGGCAATAGTATGGTGTTCTTTTAATCATGCTGCCTTTTCAATATATGACAGCCTTGATCATTGCAGGTGCCAGGATTGTTGCGTAAGAATAACTATGGCGAGCGCTTTGATCGACTGATGGATTGTGCTACATGGATTTTCAACAAATTGCTGACTAGGGCTGCAAACACCCCTCGCAACTTCATTATCGATCAAACAAATGTTTACAAGAATGCACGTATCCGCAAGCTGAGGCCATTTGCTAACTACCACAAGGTAAGCTGCAAAAGAGAAAAAGAGATGTTAGGTTTTCTGTATGGTAGCACTGGATTGGATCATAAGGTGTCTAATGTCACATACTCCCTTATGCAACAGACTGCTGTGGTCGTGTTCCCAACTCCAAGTGAACTGAAATCCAGGGCAGCAAAGCGATTCGATGAGATGGGAAAGGAAGTACCAGCTGAAGCAGTTAACGAAATGACAGGTACCTGGACATACACACGTTATTTTACTCTCAAGTAACATGTTCGCTGTCCAACTTCTTTTTTCAGTATCTCGACATCCATTACTTACCAGTTACCTTAAATTACCCTTTTCAGCCAATTTTGTCCTACCACTCTCAAAGGACATGCCTCATTCGAAGGAGCCTTTTGACGAGGTATACTCAAATTTTGATATAATAATTGTACAGCATCTTCTGACTACCCTCAAATGATTCCTTAGCTCACTGAGCTTTAAAAACATTTTTCAGGTAATCTTCACAGAGCTTTCTAGGGATGAGGCTCAGAGAACCCTAGATGAAATGCAGCGTGTGTTGCCGAGAATTGTGACCCCAAGCTATGGAAATTCCAGCAATCAAAATCATGTAATGGTGCCTTTATTGTTATTTTTGAAATAGTACCTTGTATGTTTTGTGTCATCATGGATCAGATTAGTGTCAATATGCAAAGCTATACAGCAATGTTCTGATGTTCGGGTGCTTACAGGCTAGTTCAACATATGCTGGGACTGCTGCTCCACTTGATCCTAGTGCAAGGTCATCAATGCCAGGCTTTTACCCACCAATGGCCAATTCATATGGAGTTGGCACCATACCTAGCAGTGCTGCTACTTTCAGCACAGGTGTGCATACTGCAGGCAACACAACACATGGACAGGCACCATGCAGTGTTCGAAGTTTCCAGAGTCCAGCAGGAAACCAACATGAAATCCATTCAGGCTATCCAAGTGCTCCAAACCAATATCAGATGCCCTTAAGCTACCTGAGTAACCCAAACCAATATGAAGTCCGTGCAAGCTACCAAAGTACACCACTTCCTGGATATGGACAGAGTACATATGGTTCCCATAGGAACCCAAGCCCATCCAATCCTAATCCTTACAATACCGAGATGCACCAAAGTATTCAGGCTCCCATGAGTAACAGGAACCTCTACCAGGCACCTGGGTCAGCAGAAGCCTGTAGGGCACCTGGCTATGCAGCTGCAAATCTGATTGGGAGGCCACATCACGTGTCATCACCATCAACTCTTCCAGCACATGGTCAACAAGCTGCTGCTCAGTGGGTGCCAAATCAAGGCAGTTCTTGCTCATGGAGTTCTGACAGTTACATGCCCTACTATGGACAACAGTCTCATGGTAAGTGATCGCCTTGTAGTCCAGTTTCTGCATTTTACCAATCATTCTTGAAAACCATGTGCATTTTCCATAAAAACCAACAGCTACCATTCCTTTAGCTAATCTGTTTTAGCTTACTTGCTATTCACTATTCAGGTTGCATGTCACTTGGTTTTGCCTGAAATTAACAATCATTGATGCACCCTTATCTTATCGTGCTTTTAGTACTATCCTGTTGAATATGGAAGTAATATTCTGCTAACGCACGTTTTCTTCAACTGATGGCAGATGTGCACCGACCGCCGAATGCTGCTTTGGCGCCACCTCCGAGCCATCCTCACGGTTCTGCACCTAACAACATGAATCAATGGCGGAGCCCTTGGTAGAACTAGCTTTGCTGGCAGCTAGTTTGTTTTCTATAGATAACACGAGATACATATAAATCACAGGGTTCAGGTTCTAGGGAACCTTCCTGCCTCTATTATGTACAGTACAAAGCAATGCCTTTAGCAGCACGTTTGTGGATTATCTTGTTCAAAAGTTTTCATTTTGGTGGATATCATTCTGAATTTTACAGAGGAAGGTAGATTCATGAATAGTTCACTCATAATATTCTGGAGCTCAGAAATGTGGTTATTTGAAGGGCGGGCCTGGTGCAAGCGGTAGAGTCTTACCGCCTATGACCGGAAGGTCTCGGATTCGAGTCGCGGTCTCCTCGCATTGCACAGACAAGGGTGAGGCTTGCCACTGACACCCTTCCGCCCTTTTTTCTCTTCAGAAATGTGGTTATTTGATTATTTCGTTGCATGTCAAATGTCATTGGTGTCATGTATCGAGAACTTTGCATGATAAGATACGTTAACCTGGGCTGTGCAATTCAGCTTTGACGAACACCATGATTTCTCAAAATTCATTTGACATGCATAATATGTACAATGCAACCGCTGGAATTTAGCAGCTACAAGGATGTATAAATCCGTTATACTCGGGCGTGCACAAGATACAGTCAGTTCACGGCAACACAAACTATTGTCGACGTCCAGGTTGATGAAAACACGCCGGCTCTTCTAAGACAGGTACCTTAGCCTAAACTCTCATGAGCAAGAACTTCCTAAAGGGTCATCTCTTCCTGACAGCGCCATAGTTCCTTGTGACCTGCGAAAGACCAAAAAAATCTTAATAAACAAACTCATTTTACACAATATGTTTCCTTTCAGATGTAGCACAGCACAAAATTTGGCTACAATATGTGAACTAAGAACACTGAGGTGATATTCTCTGACCCGAGGAGGAGCTTTCTTTGGCGGCTCATCTTCTGAATCATCATCATCTTTGCTCATCATACTTTGGATGGAAGCAATATCTGTTTTTCGTCCCCTCTTCGCAGTGGAACCTCTGCCTCTGCCTCTACCTCTAGGAGCTGTTCTTTTACGCCCAACTTGTTGCGCACTCTCCTCTTCCTGCGAGCATTTAAGAATAAAAACAGATCATGAGATGATTTGCAGGCATACAAGGCAGTCCAGTTTATTTTCATAGACCTGCACCAATAAAAATTGTGGAAATAGACATACTGAATTTTCAACAACTTCATTTGCATCTGCTTCCTCCTCTGAGGAGACATCCTCACTACGGATAACAGTAGTTGACCTGCAAATGTTGACTAGTAAATTAGCATTGAAGTTAGTTTCCCCAAAAGAAGAGCATTTTAGCTTTACTGAAGCCTGAAAGCAGGGCAGCAAAAATTCAGCAACTTCCATAAAGTGCATTTGAGTGCAAAATTAGGCTTGACGTGGCTATTCCAATTGGACATGGCTGCATAGCTACTTTTCTCCATGGCAACAAAGAATTCTATTGAAATTTAAAGTGTTCAAACTTCAAAGATGGAAAGATGATAAAGGTTTGAATAAACAACCTCGACTGGCTGAAACTAAGAGTGGTCTGCTTCATTGAGCTGGTGCCTCTTCCCCTGCCTCTTTTGGAAGCACCATGTTTAGCAACATCAGCAGTATCTTTGGAGGGTCTAGTAAATCCAGATGATTTTCGTCCAACATCAGTTGATCTTGCACCCAGAAGCGTATCCCTGGTGTCTTCGTCATCACTGAATGAGTTCAGGCTGCTTTGAGCTGTAAAAGATTTACCTCCAGTATCCTAGTTAAATGTCACAAGAGTTATTAGCTGTCCAGTATCCAGCCCAGTGGAAAAATACAAAAAGCAAAAAAAAAAAAAAGATATTAAGGCTCAAAGATAATTAAGCACCAAGTTCTGAGAGCTTGATGGGAAGCGTGTGCCATCCTTGGAGCGTAGGGACCTTTCCTTAACACGTTCCTAGAGGGTAGAAGATGTGGAATCGTTAACCTATATGAGCCAGGGCATTATTGTGTGATTAGAGTAGAAAAGTAGAAGGCTTTAACACCTGCATGCACTCATTAACTTTGACTATTATGTCTTCTTCCTCAATTTTGGATTTATCTGCTTCAGAACTCAACTTATTCTGCAAAAATTATCAAGCTTTGGGGTTTAGAGGTTATGATTGTTCTCTGGCATCATATGCCCAACTGCAGCTAAAGCTAACAATAGAAAATGGTGGGGAATCATACCCTGGTTTCTTCAAGGTTTCGCTGCAAACATGAATAAAATGCCATCTTGTCATCCTTGTTCACAAAATCATGCAATGCAATGTCCAAATCATCAACCGGAAGAATCTCCATTTTCTGAAACCAAAGGAAGGAATGTGTGCTGTTGTAAACATTACATTTTAAGTACACATAACGACTTCAGAGAAAAGGGATTGAAAATGAAATAATCCTCACAGCACATCATGCGCATATCTAGACCATGTGATACACAGAGGGCCTGATTACGGACTGGGAATTTATGCGATGCCTAGAAATGAAACTCTACCCAGACATCTTTATGGGAATTAAATTAATATACCAACTGAATCAAATTGGTATGCTAAACTAAGTAATTAACAGAGGAATTATATTTTTGCTTCGTTCGCACAATTAGAAGCAGCCAGTAAGAATAGAATGGATAACAACATTTATTCCATCCTCAAACAGAGAGCAAATGGACACAGTATATGCAGTTCAAAAGTACCAAGTTACTCTCTGCAACCAGAGCTTCGATTGTTTGTTGGTTTAGTTCCTCAGGACGAAGTTTCTCAGAATCATCAATGTGGTCTACAAGATAGGAATGGTTAAAAGGCACGCCATCTCATCATTAAGAAAACGAACAAGTTATTTGTAGCTTGTTCTCAATAAATAAATATTCCCTCTGTTCCAAATTATAATTCATTTGACTTTTTTGACACCAAGTTTGACCACTGCGTCTTATTCAAAAATTTGTGCAAACATAGTCAAATTTAAGTCATTATTGAAGAATTTCTGTTAAAAAAGCAAGCCACAGCCAAAGAAGTGATATTTTGCACAAATTTTTGAATAAGACAACTGGTCAAACTTGGGGTCAAAAAAGTCAAACGAATCATAATTTGGAATAGATTTAGTATCAGATTTTGAGAAAAAAAGAAATACCTCCTGTAGTCTGGCGTTTCTTTGCTGATTTTGAGAAAATGAGAATATCTTGAGGGTTTGCGACCTTACAAAATTATCAAATATAAGTTCATGCAAGTAAGCATTAAAGTAAGATTGAGGCAGCACGCTTCAGTAGTACCACAGTACCTTTCCTACATACTTCTGACCAAAACGTTGTGGGTTTATTGTTGAAAACCCAGAGTAATCTACCTGCAGAACAAAATGAGCAATATCACCTGTTCTTTCTTTCTTGATGACTTTGCACCCAGACCCAGTCATATGTTGAGTTTTATTACCTTGATTCTAACTAACGGAAGTTTGGGCTCCGATCTGCTGGCAGTTGGTTGGCTACTCTTCTCAATCAGATTTCTTACCTGAAGCAATTCAGTAATGCAACACCCATGAAAAGCCAGTTACAACTTTTTTACTGAAACTAACATTTATCAACAAAATCTTGCTAGACAAGAGAAATTAACAAACAAACTATTCTTGAATGTTTCTCAATAACATGGATCAAAATTCAGTAATAGAATGCAAAAACGCGAACTCACAATTTTATCCAAATGTTCAAGCACAGAGGCCTGATCATTTGGGTCAACATCTGCTTCATCTTTCAACACAACCTACAAATATCAATAGTGAGATTCACTAACTAATATGTGAAGCATGAAATACGAAAGTGACCTGCCTCAGCATACTCAAAAGGTCTGACAGATCTCAGAGGTATTTTGGTTGGCCTGTACTGATTTCCCTGTTTATGAAACATGTAAGGATTCAGAAAATATATACACCAAGCACATTAACCATGACTGAGAGTTTAGTTTTTCTCTAACACGCAGGGAGAGCTGCGTGATCATTATACTAAGAAGAAAGAATGAGAGTTGTCTCAAAAAGAAAACCTTGATTTCTAACAAAAAGAACATGCTTTGGTTTTGCTTCACCATCAATCAGGGACGTCGCAACTGAGGAGCCTGGTTGAGTGATGTGGAAACCCATTCCAGGGACCTCCTGTAAATAGTATATATACAATGAGTGCATGGCCAGTTTTTTTCCTTAAAAAACATACAACAACAACTCAACAAAGCGTTTTAGTCCTCAATAACGTAAAAAAAAATCTCAAGCTGTTACCTGAGGATCAATGAGGCATTCATGCTCATGGCCCCATACAACAAAATCCAGAAAACGTGGTAAAAAATGCTCATTGATGGCACTTTTAGGGTTTGTCTTTATCCTGCAAGAGTGCAGTTGTAGATTGCTTTCATTAAACAAAATGAAGGGCCAACAACAATTGAACAAGCTATTTTCCTTTGTTGTTAATTTGCTATGTCCACCTGTTCTGATGAAGTACCAATATATTGAACCAGTCAGACACTGATTCCCCATCTTGAGTTCCAGGTCGCATCCACTGTACTGAATGAGGCGTCTGAAGTATTGCAATACAAAATATGACATCAATAGTAAGAAGAAGCTGGCATGTAATATTTGAATTATCTAAGCAGTTTCTTGTTCTAGTGTCAAAATTATTTCAAAGTCGTGAAGGAAAAGATGGAAAGGCACCTGAAACATTCTATTTAGTCGCTCATCTCTAATGTTGCCAAGACCATATAGTGCAACCAAGTCATGCCCTGAAATAATAGGAAAGCAATGAATCAGCGCATAAAACATTAAGATATTGCATGTAGCTAAAGTGCTGCACCTTTTTACGAGTACAGGATAAACTGCTATCTGACCAACGCCAGAGCCACCAAGGTCCATCTTTCCAAAATAATTTACAAGATTGCAAGCGAAAGGATATCGATGGCAGAGAGATTATCCTACAGTCAGAAACATAAATTCATGAAAGGAAGCTATCATTGATCATAAGCACAATTTCAGTATAATAAACAAAATTCAGATGGTAAGAAACAATGCCATACCACTCCAGCAGGGTCATCATGATTTCCATGGATGGTGAACACAGGCAGACCAACATTGAAGTTGGGGTCTTCATAATTTACCTTACCAAATCTGAGAATGCAATAAGAAATTTTCGTATGAAAATGAGAAACACACACACACACACACATTTCTACACATTTCAGAAGTCCTCAAAAGGTATGTGAAACAAATGAATTTCAGAAGTTAACAACATCGCTGCAAGAGCTTCTAAGGTGTAGTTGTCTTTAATGTAGATCTCTGAAACCTGTTTGGGAAGTTGACTGTCTGATCACTGACAACCTGGAACTTTATTGGTTGATCATTTAGGCAGTAGCGCCCAGAGAATCTCAATCGTTTTTACCAGGGTTGAGCGCGACGGCTTGTTCTCATGGAATAGATCACCGCCAAGAAGAATAAAATCTACCTGCAATGCATTCTCGCATATTAAACAACGAATGGGCTCGCCAGAACTGCGGAAAACAAGTGATGTCAACAGAATATGACTCTCACAAACCTTGTTTTGATCCGCCAATGCGCAAATCTCCTCAAATGCTTGAAAGGAATCAAACCTACGTATCTCATCTTTCTCCATGTAGCCTAGATGGCAGTCGGTTGCTACAAGTATTCGGAGTGTGTTGCTATCGCCTTCCCCTCCCCTGCAATATCATTTGGCAGTTAACATAGTATAAGAACCCTGAACCCAGCATCAAACAACAGGCAACCATACTGATCGCTTCATGCAGCTATTAGTCCATTTCACAAAGGAAGCAATTGGAACAACCACAAGAGAGCTGCAATCCTCTGCATAACCTGAAACCAAGGTCTACTGATGTAATGAACAGGATAACTCACCTAGGTTGTGCTGGTTCGGACATTGGACCCCGAACTCAACGTCTTGGCCAAATCGATCCGTTGCTGTAAAATCTAATGCACTGCAAAAGCAACCATTTCACAAGTTAAAATAACAGGGGCGGACGACTCGATATTTTTTTCCAAACCAAAACAAAGTTATTAGTAGGCATAATACATGTATATACAACTTGCGATTAAATCAGTTCCGAATACAAGTAGCCCCAAATAGCTTAGGTTTGGGTTTGGGCGCTCGGTTTCGCAAAGCAGCAAGGGAAGAGAAGGGGCGAGCATACCTGGCAGGTGCAGCAAGGGAAAGGTTTAGGGTTTAGGGCGGAAGAGGCCGGGGGTCCCCCAGTCGTCGCCACGAGAGAGGTCAGAGGTGAACGGGAGAGGAAGACGCAGAGGTGAATTTTGGTCAAGATCCTGTGGAAACTTGACTGGGCTTGGAGCGGGCCTTTTTCAGGCCCGGATGCTGCTGGAAAAAATCCAACTCAACTTTCGTAAAAGTCTACTTTTTCTCCGTAATCTGTAAAACTACGTAAACCGCCTCCTGAATTTTTAAAACGGTTCGTTTTACTTCTTTAACCGATTATAAACAGTTTCCAAATATGGTTTTGTCTTTTTCTTTTTTATTTATTTTGGTTGGATCTTTAAAAAATCATAGTAAATCACATAAAAATCATAAAATAAAAATCTAATTTTATTGGACTCCACGTGAGTAGATTTATACAGTGAGTATATAATATGGTATGCTTTAGTACAAAGTTTTGACGTAGCTTTAGATCTATGATTTTCTGTAATTAATTCATAGCTGTAATTTCTATGGTCTAATTGTGGTAATTTTTTTATGGTGGGTTAATTATTGTATATTTGAATTGTAGTAAAAATTTCATACTCATTAGATCATGTATAACTTAGTTATAGATTTATAAATACTTTTTAACAAGCATACACCTAAATAAATCTATAACTAAGGTATACATGATTCAATAAGTATGAAATTTTTACTACAGTTTAAGTATACAATAATTATTCCACCATAAAAATTTCACCATAATTGAATCATAAAAACTGTAGCTATGAATTAATTACAGAAAATTATATATCTAAAACGACAAAAAATATACTAAAGCATACCGTATTATATGTTCACTACTCACGTGGAGTCCAACAGAATTGGATTTTTTATTTTATGATTTTTATCTGAGTTAGGCCCCGTTCGGCTTGCTGAAACTTGGCTGAAAGTGACTAAAAAACACTGTTTTGGCTGAAATGTTGTGAGAAAAAAAATAATGTTTTGACTAAAAAAAGAAGTCGAACAAGCCGGATATAAGATAAGCCGAACAGAACTTTACTATGATTTTTTAAAGATCTAACTGAAATAAATAAAAAAGAAAAAGATAAAACCGTTTTTGAAAACCGCTATGATTAAGGAGGTAAAATGAACGGTTTTAAAATTTTAGAAGATGTTTTACCCGATCCTAGACTTAAGAGAGAAAAACAGACTTTCTTAAAAATTGTAGAGGTAACGTGGACTTTTTCCCACGCTGCTTCGGTGCGTGGAGACAAACGGCGAGTGGGCCAGCCCATCCCCGCGGACTGATTGTCGCGAAAAAAGAACAGGTGGCCCAAAAACTGTCCAGGAACAAATCATCGCCCCAAAAAAGGAAGGATTTTCTTCTCCGCTGCTTCGATGCTTTTCTTCTCCGCTAGTTTTCCCCATCTCCCCCTCCCCCTCCCCCTCCCCGTCCTCCCGAGCTGCGGCGGCCGCATCGATTTCTAGGGCGAAAATCCGCTCGACTCTCCCGGCGATTTCCGGCTCTCAGGGGGAGACAGGAGGATCCGCGGGAAGGATTTGGCTGCATCCTAGTGTCGTGTTGAGATGGTAAGCGTCGACGCCACTTTTCCGCGTGCGCGGAACACTCAGCTTGTTTAGATTCCTCTAGTGGCGCGTGATGCGAGGTTGAGTGGTGCTGCTTGTTTCATGGTCAGGCTGGGCGCAAGGAGACTGCACTCGACCTGGCGAAGTTCGTCGACAAGGGCGTCCAGGTGAAGCTCACCGGCGGCCGCCAAGGTTGATTTCACATCTCCCTCCCTCGTTCATTCCTTCCTCCTAACTGTAACTATCAGGACAGTTTGGTGCTCCGAATTTGCACCTTCTCCTTGAGCAGGGTTTAGCTATTGGTTACTGTTAAGTGGAGTCCTACGATAGTCTCTATCCAGCTGGTGATATGAATCGGAGGGATAAATACCTTGTTCATGCGCTTATTTGTGCGAACTTGTGCTGATGTATTGTTGTTTTGGATAAATTATCGAGTGAAATTCACAAAACCCACCACAAATCCCAGTGCTTGGTTATACCAAGAGTCATATATAAGTCATTGTTGTCTGACGGTACATTAGTGAACCACAAAACTTGGGATTAGTAGTACATGCCAAAGCCTTGGGTTTTGTGATACTTGGGTCGTAATCCTAGGTTTTTTGTGAAATTTACTCTAAAACATAGTGTGTGCTTTCTCTCTGACTGGGTATGTGTTTGTGTGCTTGTCTTTATAGAACACTAAAGGGATATATAAATTGGAAAAATCAAAACGAACTAGTAATGTTATCACCATTTTGTGTTCTACAATCAGCCTGTTCGCTGGTTGGTTTCTGGGCTGATAAGCCCGGCTGGTGCTGGTTTGTTGTGAGAGAAAAATACTGTACCATGGCTGATAAGCCCTGGCTGAAACCAACAAGCGAGCAGGCTGAATGTGGAATGTTCACTGCAGTCATTTACACAATCTCTTGGCTTGCAACTTCCTTTTTATGTTGGAATCATTCATGTATCCATCTTAGGCATATTGTCCCTTGTGCTAGTTGCTGAAGTTTGTGTAAGCTCCTTCAGTGATTTAAAGCCGTGGAACTTCTTGTAGTTTTTCTGGTTTTTGTTCTGTAATGCTGACCTGCCACCTTATTCATGCGTCCAGTGACAGGAACTCTAAAGGGATATGACCAGCTACTCAACTTAGTGCTAGATGAAGCAGTCGAGTATGAAAGAGGTATTTTCTGATTCCTTTGGTTCTATTGTGTAACACGGAGTTTGCTCATTGAACTTGGCTAGGGTTAAGACTTATGAAACAATTTAAAAGCACATTTTGCCTCAATTATTTTGGGCAGTTAGCATTTGCAAGCTAATTGTTTAATTAAAATTTAGCTGTGGGGATAAAATAACTGTTTACTAGCACTGAACTAAGTGTTAAAGACTGAATGGAGAATGGACTATATATTCTGCAAATAACAGGGTCATAGTGCCTCATATCTGTCTTTCAAAAAAATGTGCCTCGTGTCTGAAGCTCGTATGCTTCATGTGCAGATGGAACAATGTTAAATTTTTGTTTATAGTGCTTAATGGAATGATCCATAATCTTGTCATTTTTTTTTGTAGAGCAAGATGATCCATTGAAGCTATCAGGGAAAACCAGACAGCTTGGCCTCATTGTAAGTATTCCTTTCTGACAATTGTTGATTTAACCTTTGTACTCGGTCATTCCTATGATATTTGAGTAATGCATGGGGAGCTGATGTTGAAGTGTGCCATTGTATTCTTCTAACAAGCTTGTACTCAGTTTGTTAGCGATGAATGATTCTAATAATAATTAGCGATTAGGCCCAGGCATTACCTGAAGAAAGTTAAGAAACTACATAATTGTCTGGACGCTGATAAATAAATTACTTTTGGCATATGCGATGGTCCTTTTTTATGGGCTTTACAACTGCAGATCTGAACATCATGCATCCCATTCTGGTTCTTGCAGGTGTGCAGAGGCACGGCTGTCATGCTGGTCTCACCGACCGATGGAACTGATGAGATCGCCAATCCTTTCCTTGCGGACGGAGCATAAGCTTGCACTCGGTCGATTATTTAGAACCGTGCTCTCAAAGCACCCTCAGAACAATATGTCCCATTGGAAAAAAAAGAGAACTCCATTCTCGTGTATTAGTTGTACCGGTTGGTGATAACGCTATAATTTCACTGTTGCAACTTAAAAAATCGACCCTATGGTTGCTAACGTGCTGCTGCTGAGTACTTCCGCTTTCTTTCTTTCTTTTCTGATGCTACGAGTTCTGTTTTATTATGTGAAGTTGTGCTTTAGAACAGAGGGACAAAAGGAGATCTCACGGTCATGCACGCACGCTATGGGGGCCGTTCGCTGCAAACTTTGGTGGTGAAACAGCAGCGCTCATCAGCAAATTGACACGTCTCACTTTTCTGCATTTATATTCTTATAATTTTTGCTATCTGAGCAACTCAAAAAAAAAACTCTTTATATCCTTTATTTTTTATAAAAAAAACATGTAGCGTAGCCCCCTAATGATTACAGAATCTGTGAGTAATCTGTGCGATGAATTTATTAAGCCTAATTAATTCGTCAAATATATTATTGTAGCACTATATTATCAAATTATATACTAATTAGATTTAAAAGATTCGTCTCTCAAATTAATCGTAAACTGTATAATTAATTATTTTTTATCTATATTTAATACTTCGTGCCTAAACATTCCATGATCCGCCGGCCGCCGCCGTCCGCATCACCATCGCGACTTATGTTTGACCACTGCTGCCTTGTATGTCTTACATCCAAGATTTCTCAGCAAAAAAGGACATGGGATCATTGATCAATTCACCATCCTCTTCATCTCGCCGGAGAACCACCGAATCCACCGCATCGGAGAGCGTAGAGGTTAGAATTAGGCAGAGGTCAAGATGGTGTGCATCCGACAGGCGACTATCGACGACCTGCTGGCGATGCAGGCGTGCAACCTGATGTGCCTGCCGGAGAACTACCAGATGAAGTTATACCTCTACCACATGCTGTCGTGCCCGCAGCTCCTCTTCGTCGCCGAGGACTACGGCGGCCGCATCGTCGGCTACGTGCTCGCCAAGATGGAGGAGGACCCCTCCGAGCCCCTGCCACGGCCACATCACCTCCCTCGCGGTCCTCCGCTCCCACCGCAAGCTCGGGCTCGCCACCAAGCTCATGTCCGCAGCGCAGGCTGCCATGGACCAGGTCTTCGGCGCCGAGTACGTCTCCCTCCACGTCCGCCAATCCAACCGCGCCGCCTTCAACCTCTACACCTCCACCCTCGGGTACCAGACCCACGACATCGAGGCCAAGTACTACGCCGACGGGGAGGACGCGTTCGGCATGCGAAAGCCTCTCCGGCAGCCGCAGCCAAAGAAGCACCACCACCACCACCACGGCCCCGGTGGGTGCTGCTCCCACGACGTACCTGCGGCGGCGACTGGTTCTTCTCCTCAGCCTTCTAGTTCGCCGGATAAGAAGGCTAACACTTGACGGAGGGTAAGCTTTTCCTTGCAAGCTCTGGATGTTACGTTCTCGCCTAATATATTGTTGACAGGTCACGCCGAGTTCGTTGTGATTAGGCTGTGATTTTGGTTGACAGATCCAATTAGTAGTTTAGTGTATGTATGTAAATGTGCCTCCCCTCACCTTTGGTTTCCTGAGAATGTTCACTCTCAAGACAGCCCAATCATGGAGGCACGTAGCAATTATTGGTGAGTTTAACGTGGAAGCTTACTGTTTCTTGTCGTGGTATTGCTTCTAAAATCTCTCAGTAAATCAACTAGCACTGCGGTTGCTTGTGCTTAGCTTATTTAATATTCGATGATTATTGTTATGATGAGTTGGAAGGGCGGGCCTGGTGCAAGCGGTAGAGTCTTACCGCCTGTGACCGGAAGGTCTCAGGTTCGAGTCGCGGTCTCCTCGTATTGCACATGAAAGAGGTAAGGCTTGCCATCGACACCTTCCTGCAGACCCGCACAGGCGGGAGCTCTACCTTTGAGTGCGCCCTTTTATTGTTACGATGAGTTGATTAGCATCAGCTTTCAATTCCCTTTGTTGTATTGCCAAGTCTGTAATATTGATATGAAAATCTTTTCCTAGGCAATGATGAATCGCCTTTTGAATTATATGTAGATGACTCCAAGTCCCGAATTTCAGGGAGAACCTACTTGGGGTCCTACATTGGAATGAGATATACGGGCTTTACTGAGTTTTATGAACAAAGCATTTAACAATATTTTGAACACTGTATATGCGTTTTTTTTTGTTTCCTGGTGGGTATTGTTCTTGAATGAAATTGTTCATATTCATTTTATTTGGCAGAACATAGCCGGAGAAATGCGCTTAAACTTTTCTTGCTTATGGTGATTTGCCTAATGTGTGAGGACGTGAGGTGTAGACAGCTCAAGTCCCTGCTTGCAAGGAGAACCTACTTGGAGTCCTACATTCAAATGAATTTATGGGCATTTTCTGAGGTGTTTTTTTTTGTGCACTGTAGTTTTGGTTTAAATATTTGCCCTATGTTATGTTCAGCTCTTTCTTATCTTTCACTGTTATATCTGAAAGCTTATGAACCAAATGCATCCAATTTTCACCTTCACAGTAACCTATGATGAGTTGCCCAACATGTGAGGTGTAGGTAACTCAAGCCCTGATTCAGGAGAACCTACTTGGGGTCCTACATTCAAATGAGATACACAGGCATTTACTGGGGTTTATAAATAAGGCCTAATGTTTTGTCTTAGTTTGTTGCATGTATAGTGTACGTGAGACTTGCTTTGATGATAGATTGGTTCTTTAGCTGTATGTTATTGCTCATGTAATGATTATCCATTGGTGAGATGTTTATGCCTTTTCTTCTGGCCAATGTTTTATCAGCAAAATAAATTACTTTGTGAGACTGCCTGTGATGATTAGTCTGCAAAATCGATGTCCTGTGGATTCAAGCCCCTGTTTCAGGGAGAACCTACTTGAGGAAACATGGTACATAATATGACATCATTTGATAAAACTAAGGCATTACAGAAGAACCTTATTTCCTTGTCAGTTTTTGCTTTGTGCTCTATCCTTTTATTCTGATACTCTGAAAGTTGAGTTGAGGTCATATAAGAATCCATGCAATCATCTTCCAGTGATGTTTCTATCTGCAAAAAGGATGTGCTATGTATCCAAGTCCCTGCTTCAGGGAGAACCTACTTGGAGAAGCAGCATCTAATATGACATGAATTCAGAGAGACTGAGATAATATTGCTGCATTATTGTTATGTTTTATTTCTCTCTTTTAGACACATTTTTTTAAGTTTCATGAAAGCAAGGTGATTTTGTTTTTTGACATTCTTTGATCTGCATTGTGCAATTTAAATATTGAAGCTGAAATTCAATTTTGGTACTTAACTAGCTTCTGAATATTGCAGACTCATATGTACAGAGAGGAGTCACCAAGCCCATTGGACTTTCTATACGCATCTTTCCTCTCCCCAGAAGATCAAAGATTATAGTCAGTGAGAATGGCAAGCAAATATACTTGACATTGGTATTGTGTTTGTAAAAACATGTGCTCCAACGCTGGTTCTCACAGTTCATTTGATTAGTCATTATGCCTGACAATTTGGCCAGATTTTATACCGCAGAATATAATACAAGTTTGGAACCTGTAATGCCGTTGTTTTATTATTGGATCACTTACAGAGTGCTGTTTTCAGATTTAATTAGCATCCAAAATTATTAGTCAATTAGAACTCCAGTGTTGAGATTTCTGCGTCGTCATCATCAATGCTAATTGTTTTGAAAAATAAATGCTTTTCCCTGAGTAAATAGAAGATAGCTAGGCCATTCTGCTGTTTTCAGATTGAATTAGCATCCAAAATTATTAGTCAATTAGAACTCCAGTTTTGAGAATTCGGTGTCATCAATGCTAATTGTTTCGAAAAATAAACGCTTTTCCCTGAGTAAATAGAAGTTGCTAGCCATTCTGCAATGAACAGTAAATAGAACGAAGATAGTTAGGTCATCAATTCATCATTCTCTAACTCTGAGGCTCATCCTTCCAACGAAGACAGTAGTAGTAGTTTTTTTTTTAGTGGAAGACAGTAGTAGTAGTAGTAATAAATGAATTCAACGAAGACAGTAGTAGTTAATGAACAGTAAATAGAACGAGGATAGGCCGGCCCAACACGACTACAGCGTAAGCAACAAATCATTCGGCCCACCAGGCCTATTTCGGCCTGTTTACCCTCTAGGGTTAGGTCAAGAATTCCCCGAGCCTCCCTATATTAATAGAGGCCAGGCGGCCGCCGCCGTCCGCATCACCATCGCTACCTATCGCCGGAGAACCACCGAATCCACCGCATCGGAGAGAGTAGAGGTTAGAATTAGGCGGAGGTCAAGATGGTGTGCATCCGGCAGGCGACCATCGATGACCTGCTGGCGATGCAGGCGTGCAACCTGATGTGCCTGCCGGAGAACTACCAGATGAAGTACTACCTCTACCACATGCTCTCGTGGCCGCAGCTCCTCTTCGTCGCCGAGGATTACGGCGGCCGCATCGTCGGCTACGTGCTCGCCAAGATGGAGGAGGACCCCTCCGAGCCCTGCCACGGCCACATCACCTCCCTCGCAGTCCTCCGCTCTCACCGCAAGCTCGGTGTCGCCACCAAGCTCATGTCTGCCGCGCAGGCCGCCATGGACCAGGTCTTCGGTGCCGAGTACGTCTCCCTCCACGTCCGCCGATCCAACCGCGCCGCCTTCAACCTCTACACCTCCACCCTCGGGTACCAGATCCACGACATCGAGTCTAAGTACTACGCCGATGGGGAGGACGCGTACGATATGCGCAAGCCTCTCCGGCAGTCGCAGCCGAAGAAGCATCACCATCACCACCACCACCACCACGGCCCCGGTGGGTGCTGCTCCCACGACGCACCTGCGGCGGCGACTGGTTCTTCTCAGTCTTCTAGTTCGCCGGATAAGAAGGCTAACACTTGACATGGGGTAAGCTTTTCCTTGCAAGCTCTTGATGTCATATTCTCTACTAATATATTGCTTGTCACCTCGCAGTTCGCTTTGATTAGGCTGTGATTATGGTTGAGAGATCAAATTTGTAGTTTCGTGTTATGTCAATGTGCCTCTCCTCACCTTTGGTTTCTTGAGATTGTTCACTCTCAAGGCAGCCCAGTCATGGAGGCATATAGCAATTATTGGTGAGTTTAACGTGGAAGTTTACTGTTTCTTGCTGTGGTATTGCTTCTAAAATCTCTCACTAAATCAACCAACTGCGGTTGCTTGTCCTCAGCTCGATTAATATTCGATGATTATTGTTATGATAAGTTTATTAGCATCAGCTTTTAATTTTTTTTTTGTTGTATTTGCAAGTCTGTTTTATTGATATGAAAATATTTTACTAAGCAATGATGAATCGCCCTTTGAATTAGATGTAGATCACTCCAAGTCCCTGATTTTCAGGGAGAACCTACTTGGGGTCCTACATTGGAATGAGATATGTGGGCTTTACTGAGCTTTATGAACAAATCATTTAACAACATTTTGAACATTGCATATGCATTTTTTTTCCTGGTGGGTATTGTTCTTGAATGAAATTGTCCATATTTATTTTATTTGGCAGAACATAGATGGAGAAATGTGCTTACAATTATCTTGCTTATGATGATTTGCCTAATGTGTGAGGTGTAGACAGCTCCAAGTCCCTGCTTGCCAGGGAGAACCTACTTGGAGTCCTACATTCAAATGAAATTTATGGGCATTTTCTGAGGTGTTTTTTTGTTGGTGCACTGTGGTTTTGGTTTAAATATTTGCCTATGTTATGTTAAGCTCTCTTATCTTTCACTGTTATATCTGAAAGCTTATGAACCAAATGCCTTTCACCTTCACGGCTTCACAGTAACCTATGATGAGTTGCCCAACATGTGAGGTGTAGGTAACTCCAAGCCCTGATTCAGGGAGAACCTACTTGGGGTCCTACATTCAAATGAAATCCATGGGCATTTACTGAGGTTTATAATAAAACCTAATGTCTTGTCTTAGTTTGTTGCATGCATTAGTCTACGTGAGATGTGCTTTGTTGACAGATTGATTCTTTAGCTGCATGTTATTGCTGATGTAATGATTATCCATTGGTGAGATGTTTATGCCTTTTCTTCTGGCTAATGTTTTATCATCAGCAAAATAAATTACCTTGTGAGACTGCCAATGATGATTAGTCTGCAAAATGGATGTCCTGTGGACTCAAGTCCCTGTTTCAGGGAGAACCTGCTTGAGGAAACATGGTACAAAATATGACATCGTTTGATAAAACTGAGGCATTACAGAAGAACCTTATTTCCTTCTCAGTTTTAGCTTCGTGCTCTTTCCTTTTATTCTGAAAGTTGTGCTTAATCATAAAGCTTGGTTGAGGTCATATCAGAATCCAAGCTTTCAGTGATGTTTCTGTCTGCAAAATGGATGTGCTTATGTATCCAGTCCCTGCTTCAGGGAGAACCTACTTGGAGAAACAGCATCTAATATGACATGAATTCAGAGACTGAGATAGTATTGCTGCATTATTGTTATGTTTTATTTCTCTCTTTTAGTTCCATTTTTCTCTAAGTTTCATGGAAGCAAAGTGATTTTGTGTTTTGACATTCTTTGATCTTTACTGTGCAATTTAAATATTGAAGCTGAAATTCAATTTTCTGTGGCTTCTGAATATTGCAGACTCATATCTACAGAGAGGAGCCACCAAGCACATTGGACTTTTATACACATCTTTCCTCTCCCCGGAAGATAGAGATTGTAGCGTTCTTTTCCTAATAGAATGGGAAAGACCTACATCGTCCCACCGAATCTTTTGATGTCTCGAATCGTCCCACCGAATCTTTGTAATCAGTGAGAATGGCAAGCAAATATACGGCCCCGTTCGTATTCCCAGGACTAAATTTGTTCCAGGCCGCAGGAGATGTTTGACACTAATTAGGAGTATTAAAAATAGACTAATTATAAAAAAAGTATTAGACTAATTATAAAACTAATTGCATAGACAATCTATTAAACTTAATTAGTTTATGATTTAACAATGTGGTACGATAAAAATATGCTAATGATGGGTTAATTAGTCTTAATAAATTCACATCGTAAATTAATCTCTATCTATGTAATTAATTTTATAATTAACTAGTTGTTCTAATTAGCGACAGGAGTTGCCTCCGAGGCTGATCCGTCGAACGAATACAGGAGTCGTTCTGATTAAACAGAACGAGTAAGTATCTCATAAGAGTCTGAATCGATATTGTCCTGTCTTGTGAATCGTGCGTTGGTGCTACCGGGTTAAAATAGTGCCCTGCCGACGGCTACAGCTCTTCATCGCCTTCACAGTTCTCATGCTGCTTCAGTAGTCCACCTTTTGGCCATGCAAAAATTGTTTCAGACTCATCAACCTAATAAACTGTGCTAGAATTTGCCACTAGTAGTGTACAAGTGTGTTATTATCTATAAATCTTGTCTTGGATCAGTCCTACCAGAAATCAGAGGAAGCCTTAAGAGATGTAACTACATTATCAGTTTAAAACTAGTGTGACGGCAGCTTTCTTAACCACTTAAAGCTACCGCATGATTCAACACAAACTCTGAGAGGGGAGGCTTTTCTTCATAGCGATAGCCTGTGCTGAAAAAGTGATCCATGAGTAGGGCTGGGCAATCCTTTTTTTCGGTGTGAAAAACCTTCGGTGCTGGAAAACTCGGAGGCAATCGGTGCTGGCAAATACCAAAAACCGACATGTTCCGTGGTGTTTCGGTTCAGTGTTTGCTCTGCACCGAACACAACCGAATGAGTATTGCAGCACACTGACAGAAACACAGACAGTTGATTAGCACAGTAAATAATACTACAATAACCATTTCGGCAGTTCATGTTTCAATACTACAATAACCAAGCCAACAAGACAACAATACATGGAAGTTCAAAGTCCAGTAGCAGACGGCGGACTAGCAGTGGTTCAAACTTCAATTATTACAAGCAAACATGTTCACAGTGACCACAAATTGATTAAATCAAAGATGAGTGCACCAACACTCCTTCCAGACAGCAACAACATCAAACTTTTGGTTTGTTCAAGACTCTGTTGTCTCCTTAGGAATAGTGAGGGCACCCAGTTCTACAACAAGTGAAATATGAAATGCAACATTAGTCATGAGTAGATAGAAATGAATCATGAAGAACATAAAAGAACGATAGCTTTTAAATTTACAAGTACCTTCCTCAAGCTTGTACAATTCTTCTTCATTCTCTTCAACACTAACAATATTGGATCCACGAATCCAATCACTTGCACAAATCAGACGCTCAACCATTGGTGGTGTGAGTGAGCTCCTGAAATCATCAAGAACACGTCCACCTGTACTGAAGGCTGATTCAGAAGCGACAGTTGAGATAGGAATTGCTAAGAGATCACGGGCCATGCGAGACAGTATTGGAAACCTTTTAGCATTGCCCTTCCAATACTTAAGAATGTCAAACCCTTCATTATCCTCTTCATTGTCTTCTGAAAAGTACTTGTCAAGTTCAGATTTGGTAGTGGCATTTGCACCCCCACGTTTCCTCAATTTCTCAGCAATTATAGACTTGAACGACCTTCTGCTCTCTGGAGGTGGTTCTTGAGTCTCAGTGGGCTGTTGTGGTGCATTATCACTTGGAGCATACATATTTCTATACTCTTCAAACAAAGCATGGAAAGAAGTGTTCACTGTTTCCCACAATTTCTCTCCTATCTCATCACCAAACAAGATCATCATAGCCATCTTTATGTAAGTTGAAAGCTTGTACCTTGGATCAATTGCAACACAGAAATAAACAACGAAGTTCAGGTTCAGCAATTGATCCCCCTTATCTTTCTCTCCTCGCTTCTCTCCGTCTCCCAGCCTCTCTCCATATTTCTCCCCAAAGTACTTGTAGTACTTTACTAGCATTCTCTTACCCATTTCACTACATAACCTATCCTCACTGTCACACCACTCTCACAGCAAAAGCAACAGATCAGCAATCTCATGAAAATAAGTGTTTGATGTTGGACAACTTGTGACTGAAACACGAGAGTAAGTTCATAAAATGTTCAAGAAATACAGCCATCTTCCTAGCATTATCCCAATCTGATTTTTCAGGAACTCCTGGACCATCTTTTCTCGTCATTTAAGTCTAGTTTATAGTATGGGTCTTCATCACTATACATTTCAAAAGCCTTTTCATACTGCTGTGCAGTGTTTAGCATCAGGCAAGTAGAGTTCCACCTAGTGCAAACATCTCACGGTCAGAAAGGCTTTGGTCTGTACCTTTGCTAATTCAGCACATTTCTTAAACCTTGCCAATCTAGATGTTTCACCCTTGACAAACTTAACAGCAGCACGAACACGAACCACTGACCTATCAATTTCCTTTAGGCCTTCACTAACTATTAAGTTGACAATGTGTGCAACACATCTCATGTGTAGATACTCTCCTTTAGCAATGCTACCATTTGATTCATTCAAGACCCTCCGCATGTACTTTATTGCATCGTTGTTTGCACTATCATCGTCCACTGTTATTGTAAAAACCTTATCAATTCCCCATGCTGCCAAGCAATTCTCTAGGGATTTTCCAATATCTTCCCCTCTATGACTCTCTACCAAGAAAAAACCAATGATTTTTTTGTGGAGCTTCCAATCATTGTCAATAAAATGTGCTGTCACACACATGTAGTTTTGGTTGGTATTAGATGTCCATGTGTCAGTTGCGAGGCTAACCCTTCCACAGTGTTCTTTTAAAAACTTCTTCAGCTTTTCCTTCTGGACATCATACACTTCGACACAAGCTCTAGTGGCTGTTCTTCTAGAGGGTAAAGTAAATTGTGGGCATGCTATGGCCAAAAATTTTCTAAGGCCAGGGCGTTCAGATAAGGCAAATGGTTGCTCATCTTCAATTATCATTTCAGCAAAACTGTTTCTAAGGTCATCAAGATCAATATCCGAAGTAGATAGAGTACCAACACTACTATTTCCATGACTAGGTTGCAGTTGGCTATTTCCATTTGTCTCTGTATCACAGCGACACAAGTTCCCACAGTACTTGCACTTGGCTCTTTCCTCCCCATTTGCAATTTTTACCTTAGTGAAATGATCCCAAATATCTGAACTTGGAGCGATCGCTTTCCTTTTCTTGTTTTTCTGTTTCTCTTGCTGTTCACCTTCATCCTCCTCGCTCTGCTGATCGTCCTCTTCGTCAACCTCTATCATTTCATTCACCTGATTTGCAACGGTTTCATCAGTATCCCCCATAAAACATGAAACACGCCACTTAAGATCAAGCATAGGTTAGGTTGGTCTATTTGTGCAAGATCTAAGAAACCAAGAAAGGATAACTGAAGTCTGAACTTAAGAGAAGAAGAGTAGAAGACATACGTTGGTGGACTCCTCGGTAGCTGCCGACATTGTACTGGAAGGAGATCTTCACGTGGGTGGTGCTGAGCCTGCGCGGCCGCGCGCCGTCGCTGTTGGAGCCTGCGTGGTGCCCCGCGCCGTGGGCCCGCCGCCGCCGTCGGAGCCCGATGCGCCGCGCCGTCGCCGTCGTTGGTGGCTAGGGTTAGGGTGCCGTGCGGCGCGGTGCGGGAGTCGGGGGAGTGACGCCTGACGGGGAGTGCGGCGCTGGTGCCCTTGTGGGTCTGCGACGTGCCTCACTGCCTCCTCCCTTTTGCATAGTTCGGTTCCTTCGGTAGATGGTATATCGGTTCGGTGTGCTAGGAAAACCGACACCGAAGCCGATAACCGAAGTAATTAAGATCATCTCCACCAGTCCTTCAATTCCCACCCCTGAGAAAAACCTGTAGTTTGGCGCGAGCTCCAACTGCCGGCGCCAGGGACGGGGAAGGGGACGCCGACGGCAAGATGGTGGCCGCGGGGGGCCATCACCGTGGGCGGGGAAGAACCGCCTTGCTGCAGCTTCTCGTGCTGCCTTGCCGATGCTCCTGGCGCCCCCACTGGCACTGTTCGGAGGAGCGGCGGCGGAGTGCTCGCGAAGGCGAGCGGAGCAGATGCGGTCCAATTTTCTCCGGCGGGCGGCGGCGGAGCAGATACGTCGCTCGGAGCGGGAAGAGAGAGAGAAACAAACGCGCGGGGAAAAAATTAAAATATTGAATGACAAATGGAGCCCACATGTTAGAAGAGATATTGGGGATGGAATTTTCTCATTCTATTGATTGGAGAAGAGGCCTTTCAAAACCCTCAAAAAAAGGTTTGTAGCTCCCCTGACAACTAGTTTTAGGTTGAGATTTTCTCCTACTGCTGGAGATGCACAAATCTAAACGTGGCCAACCCATGAAGCCATGAGTGAAACTGGACACATGCCTTCATCCTTTGAGAAAGAATATCGGCAACTCATTCAACTAGTGTTTCAAATTTCACTCTTCTTTCGATGCTGCCAGATCTTTCATACCCAAAGCCAATCTTACTATGCACCAGTTTAAATGCCAGAACGGTATTTCCTGCTTTCCTCCTTAGTGCATTGATCATCATTCAAACAGTGTTTGAAATTTCACTCTTCTTTTGATGCTGCCAGATCTTTCATACCCAATGCCTATCTTACTATGCACCAGCTTAAATGCCAGATCGGTATTTCCTGCTTTCCTAAGCGCGTTGATCATCATCGTTCGAACCCTCCCAGGTATCTCACGGCCCTTCTGCACAATGCCATCTGCCAATTTGCAGGCCTGCTTGAATCTGCCAGTCTTACACAACACGTTGATCATATCCTCATGAGCTGTCTCAGGAATTACACCCATTGGAGCCAGTTCATCCAATATCCTCCATGCACGGCTGAATTTACCAGAAAGGCAGAGTCCATTGGCGAGGACCCTGAAAGCTGCAGCTGTTGGGGTGATTCCCTTATCAATCATGCTGTCCCAGAACTTCAGTGCCTCCTCATTCTTGTGTTCCTTGAACAAACCATCAATTAGAATGGTATATGTGTAGACTGTTTGATCACAGCCATCATCTTCCATTCTCTTGTAGAAAGCACACGCGTCGTCTGTTCGTCCTGCTTTGACTAATGCGTCGATCAGAACATTGTAGCAATACGAGTCAGGCACAAATCCTTTAGCAATCATCTCCTCGAAGAGCTCCTTTGCTTGGTCAACCATCCCAGCTTTTCCAAAGCCATCAATTAGGCTTGTATAGAAAATGGCATTCACTGCAACACCCTTCTCTACACAACTCCTGAAGCACGCAAGTGCCTCATCCATATTGCCAAATCTGCACAAGCAGTTAACAACCACACCGTATGTGACCGTGTCAAGCTCAACTCCACTGGCCTTCATCCTCTCAAAGAGTGCCATTGCCTCTTTCTCCCTCCCGAACTTACCCATCGAGTCAATGAGCGCGGTGTACATGGCTGCATTGGCTGGGCAACCTCGCTTCAACATCCTCTCAAACACAGCCAGCGCCTCAAATGGTTTCCCGTCCTTGATGAGGGCGCCGATCACCAGCACATAAGCATGTTGAGGTATCTCCTTCCCCATTCCCCTCTCTTCCATCTCTTGGAACAGTGCTATGCATTGTGGAAATGTGCCCTCGCTGTAATGGCGCTGCATGAGAGTGAGGTATGTCACCTTGTCTGGTGCGAGCTCTGCCTGTTCCCTCATATCCACAAGCCGTGCCATCGCATCCTGCGTCCTCCCCGCGTGGCAGTACCCCTTGATGAGAATGTTGTAGGAAACCACGTCGGGACGCACTCGATCTTCCGTGGACATTGCGTTGAACACGTTGATGGCAGTGTCAAGGAGGCCAGCGTTGACAAGGCCGTCCAGCAGGCAGTTGTAGGTGAGCCTAGATGGCTCAATGCCGGCGAGGCGCATGGCCTGCCACACCCACAGCAGCTCCTCGGAGAGTCCGAACGTCGCGAGGCTGCAGATCAACGAGACCGACGACGCCGGCGCGAGGTGCCTCAGGACAGCGTCCCCGTGCGCGCGCAGCTCTGCGATGAGCTGCCGCGCCTGGCCGGCGGCGTTGGGGCCGGCGGTCTCCCTGGAGCGCGCGAAGGAGTGGAGGAGGGAGACGTAGCAGCTGAGGAGGTGCTGCGGGTGCGCGAGGAGGTCGGCGCCGTTGGGCAGGGAGCGGAAGAAGTGGAGCGACGGGAGCGGGTGCGGGGTGAGCTGCGGGGAGCGGAGCGCGGCGGCGACGAAGGCCGGGGAGAGGCGGAGGAGGAAGGTCCTGCAGAAGGCGCGGAGGTCGGCGGCGAGGGTGGCCGGCGGGGAGCGGAGGACGAGGGAGATCACGCGGGGCAGCCACGGCGACGGCGTGGGCGGGGCCGCCGACGCGGAGGCGTACGGGCTCGGGTCCGCGAGGTCCGGGTACGGATCGATCCACTCCGGCGGCGGGAGCGGCTGGTGGTCGTGGGGCGCGGCGGCCGGCCGCCGGCCGCGAGGGACGTGGCAGAAGCGGCGCATCGTACGAGGGCGGCGGCGGCGGCAAGGAGAGGTGTTCGACGAAATGAGCGGGCAGGGCGTCTTTGGTTTGGGGTGTTTGGCTTCGGCGGTTCGGCCACTGACCGAGTGTCAGTTTGCCTGTACTCTTCTTTTCCCATGGGAAATTATCCAACGCTACAGAAACTTTGCGAAGATGAATCCAAATCGAAGTTCCGATGAAATCGCATGAAATTATCATTCTATAGTCAGAATTCTTGAAACTGAGATACTCAGAGATTGGTACAGCTCGCTAAATACTGAAGTGAAATTTTCAGCTTTGGTTGCTCACCCAAAAAGGGCCTGAAGCCCTGAACCATGGATGTATCGTATGATTATCGTATCACAAATCTAATGCCCCTTCAGACATGGTGATGAATTGATGCAACTAGAGAATACAGGTACGATGAAGACTGAACAGGTGAACATGCCTTCAAGCTCGTCTCCTTCGTCAACCATGAGCATCCGGCAAAGGCAGTAAGGCACTGACACGGAAAACTCTGCTCCACCAAAGTCGTCCATAGAATGGCATTGTCATGTAGTCTTCGTTCAGGGGTCTGGAAATGGTTTTGCGTAGGATGAACATGAAAGTGGAAGTGGAACTAGAAGCCAGGGTCGTCCCACTGCAGGACGGCGGTGCCGACGTTCTGCTCCCTCTTGAGCTTGTCCTTGAGGAACCAGTCGCAGACGCGGCCGGCGTTGAGCTCCTCGATCGGGACGCCCTCCTGCTCCGATATCACTCTCAGCAGGTTCAGTGACGATATCTGAAAACAAACACAGCGGCAGCAAAACACAGCCCTGTAAACGATCCTTGCTCGTCGATGCTCGTCCAATCGTTACTCTGCAGCTGACATGAACGGGAGTGGGAGCATGCGGACTTACGGTGAGGCGGCAGAGGAAGCGCTCGTGCGTGCTGAGGCCGGACATCTCCACCAGCCCGGCCTCCTCCAGGCTCAGGAAGGTCCTTTTCTCCTGCTCGTCGGTCGCCGCTTCTTCTTGCTGCTGCTGCTGCTGCTTGTCCTCCTCCTGGCATCTCCTCCGGACCGCCAGTCTCGAGGCTGCATCTCTAGCTGCAATCAGATCAGGTGATCAGGTCGCTGCTTGATTACAGCATCAACGGATCAAATTATCTGGCTCCAGCTCCGGCCAGCCAGAGACGCCGTTGGTCACTGGGTCTCGACCTGCAACACGACGGCAGGGGACGGCGGCTGCTCGTCTGAGCAATGGCCTGGGCGGCAGAGCCGCGGCTGCTGCTGCGCACGAGGCGTGACTCGTCTTGCACGCGCTGGTTATGTGCTGCATAGCTCTGGACCTGCAGCTGGATCGATCCTTCTCACGTGAGCAGAGCACCTCCGTTGCTATGCTCTGGTCTCTGGACTCTGGTGCTCTGATCGGATGGAGAGGGTGAGGAAGAGAAGGACGCGGCCGCGGGATCGGGCGAGCGGATAACGCTGCAATGCAATCATATGCCAGAATTTTTTATTTGTTAGCTCTTTTTTTTTAAAAAAAATTTATAAATATGTCCCTGGGGTTAAGATTTTAAAATCTGGACTCTTAGCTCGACGCCATCATTGCTGGCGCCGAGCTTACACGTCTCGACGTCAGCGTTGCTCTTGGGCTCGACGCAAACGTGGCGGTGACTTGGCAGGCAGCTCGGTGTCAGTAACCCTGGCGCCAAGCTTAGCGCCGTAGATCCTGGCGCCGAGCTTGGCGCCGTAGATATTAGCGTAGAGCTTGACGCCATGATCTATGGCGCTGAGGTGGTGTTTTAACTTCGGCCCTAACCTTCCTGCTCGAGCCTTCTTCTTTTTCTTTCTCCTCCCTCTCTTGTTTTTTCTCTCCATACTTCGCCCTACCTCACGAATCGGTATATTGGACTTTGGAAACTTTGATTTGATCCATAGATCTTCGAGAGCAAGGTATCATCGCTCCCCTCCTAATTTTTTTCGCATCGATTCTGTGTATATTAGTCAAATTTTTAACCTAAGAATCGTCATTACTTAGTGTTTTATTCTATCCCTCAATATTTGTATTATACAACCGTAGGATGATGTCAAGGCGTAAAAAAGTTAGCAAACCTAGGTAACCGCAGCGTATGTAGTTATGTTATGGGTTCATTGTTATGCATCAAATGAAAAACCCTAGGTTTAGAGTTTAATGCTAATTGCTTTCAGTTCTTAAAACGAAATTGGTTATATTGTAGTTATGGTTTTCATTGATATTAATTTTTGATGTTTTTATTTTTGTTTGTTAAATTACATCCATTTTGTTACATGCAAGAAATGTATCGGAAGGAATTTTGGTGAAAACGGGATCGTCCTCGAGAATTATACCCCGACGCGTCTAGCAAAGATGCCCCCATCCCTCCTGACCTCCCTGTCCCTAACCGTGACTGTGGTTTCCTGACCCACGTGTTTTAATCGAAACATCCGGGCACAGCGGCACGTTGCTTCTACACATGCAGTCGTTTAATGTAAGAAATTGTTTCCACTATCTTTTTTTCTTTATTTGTGTAAGTATGATACTAATATTTTGTTGAAATCTTGTTGTGTAGGACCATGAGAGATGCTTTTCCTTTCAGTGGATCAACGATGCAGACAAGTTTGACCCTAGGTACCTCCTTTTCGACGATTGATTTAGAGGAAGACATCCACGTGAGAACTTCAAGCGATGGGTTCCACCCCCCTAACCCCTCGTCAATGACGGCTAAGGAAAAGCACCTAGCCGTAGTTAGACGACTCGAGGAACCTCATCTGTGCGAATGCGTAGATCGAGCTATGATAAACCCTAAGAATATGTTGGAGTTTGTGTGTCCGAACAAACACGAAGTACATAAAAAGTGTATCTGTTTAAATATTTAGCTCTATGTGTGCGTGTACTAATGTCTCCTCTTTTAGGTGTATGGATTTGCGAAGTGTCGTTTCAAGAAGTGGCTCTATGGTCCTAAGAATCAATGGTCGGAGCCACCAAAGGTAAAGAAAAAGAAGAAAGAAAGGTTAATTTACAAAGCACCTCCAGTCAAGTGCGAATATGGTGTTAAATTCAACTACGGTCTAATCCCTTCAGAGCTTGGAATATGTTATTATTGCGGTCATATGATTGACTATGATGAGGTTGGTTATTTTTGTGGTAAACATAAAATCGTATTTAATTTTTTTTGCTAAGACATATATGATATAATTTTTCATTTGAACAGAGCACTAGAAAATACTGGTGAGAATGTTATGATGGTAAAGCTAAGTTCTTAGATGAACTGAAGGGGAGGCAAGTAATTGTACGAAAGAGGGGATATGGACCTGACTACGTTAACCTATTCGTTAAACATCACAAAGATAAGATGTGTGAGTTTGCTGAACAGCGCGGTATTCGTAACCTGATCGATGTTGGGCTTGACAAATAGGGATTGGACAAACTGAGGGTGTTAGAGGAGGAGAGTGCAAGCAATGAGGCAAGGGAGGAGACAAGAGTACAGATGCAGGTCTTGAATGAGCATGTTGTTGCATTATGTACCAGTGAGAGCTTGAAAGTCTTTTTTTTTTTGCCTGATTTTAAATGTATTATAATCGCATTGCTAACTAATTGTATTTTATACATGAATGGATTGGATACAACGAGAACCATGACGGAGAGGTGGCTTGTGCAAGTTATAAGGAAAAGAAATTAGATGAGCACAGAACGTGAGCTGGTCGCACCGTTTAATCACCGATTGTGTTGTCTGATGAGGGGCACGGGGCTAAGGAAGACATTGGCAGACTAAGCGAGTTCATCGCTCTAGCAGATGCGGGCTTGTAGGTGGAGGAGGCTGAGGACGACACTGGCAGACTGAGCGAGCCACCTAGTGAACCCACGGTTTTCTTCGATCAAGAAAGACTACAATAAGTATGTCCCGTAAGTAGTATAGAAGTGGAACATATTGAAAAAATAAATAGTAATAGCAATTATCCATGCTCGCGGACTTTTGAAAAAACGACGACCTCCATCTATTAATCGTCCAAAGAGCACAATGCAACCACAACGAACATCACAAACAACATAACATGTCACGAATAGTCCAAACAGTCCACAATATTCATACAGTCCTAAATAGTTACAGGAAAGTAACTACAAAATCTATAATAGTACATACTAACATCTATCACAAATCCTCATTACCTTCTAGCATTACCCTTACCCTTGTGACCAAGAGCGTTGGTATCTGGAGTGTAAGGGTCAGGTGAACGACGTCGTCTAGTGCCTGGGGGCTGTGTAGGCTGAGTCGATGGAGCGTCCTGAAGCTGAGAGGGGCCAAGCTCCTCGTGCCTCTGGTCCACGTCGTCGTCCCCTGTAGCTACTTGGCTAGAGGAATCTAAGCCTCCTTTGCATGCGGGAGGAACGTACATGCCTTGTATCGTGTCTGTCCTGCAATCACAACGAGCAGCCGCACGGCGTAGCCGACGTGACAGCCTCTGTTGTGCAAAATTATGTTAACTGAAAGAATCTAACGTATTAATAATATGTTTGAAATAATATTTTGAATCTTACGTCTAGGAAGCTACGCGTGTCGTCGTCCCTGACTCTCAGACGAAAGCGCTCAATGTCTTCAACGGAGCATTTGAGGGTATTGCCCTGCAATAAAGTTCTCAGTGAAAATACTTCTGAACAGATAGCAACAGGTTTTTTTTGTTCTTTTGTACAACAATCTAACGTATTATAAGGATGCTACGGCTAGAAGGTGGCACTACCTAAAATAGATATCTCTAACGCATAATGTATTGGTATGCAACTTAACGTAGAAAAATAAGGCCGCGGTGATTTGAGGTCAGACGCAGCCACAAGGGCGCGGCCAAGGCGACCTGCAAGCGACCGAAAGCAACGTCGGGCAAGGCGAGGTCATGGCGAGGGCGAGGGCGCGAGCGGTCGGGGGCGGGAGAGGACGCGGGCGGCGGCGGCGGTGCGCTGCTCGGGCGAGGCGAGGGAGGTGCGAGAGAGAGAGGGAGAGGAAGAGA